TATTACGTGACAAGTCCCATTTTTAGAGGAATGTTTTGTAGAAAGCTGTGAAGGAAGCGAAGAATTTCCTTCACTGTCGTAGACTATGGTCACTTGTCTGTAGGAATTATGTGGAAAACTCGGTCGCAAGTGAGCGTTCCTTCCGTGGTGTGGCCCCAAACATGCCTCCTCGTCATGCCCTTGTGGAAAGTTCAGATTTTTTGCATTTCCAGATGAACTCGCAGACCTGAAATGTGCCCCGTTAGCTTCCCCGTGAAAAATGCTATCGAATGATATGCATTACTTCCCCAGTTGAAACTTTGGTTTTTCACCGTTTTCAGCCTTCCCCTATTGCCGGATTGGGCACTATCCCACGATTACTGCCCCAAAATCTCAAAGTTTCATTTTTCGTCGAAACTTTGTCTATTGGGGTAATTCGATGCCCTGATTACGAATATGACATTCATTTTTGATGCTGGTGTGGCGCCATTTTTGGCGCCAATTTGGCGCCACGGCTGTTTTCACCAAATCTGCTGAAACTTCGTCATTTGGGGTTATTTGGGGTCCTGATTACGAAAACGACACCCGTTTTTAGCGCTGGCGCCATTTGGCGCCGTTTGGCGCCAATTTGGCGCCACGGCTGTTTCCACCAAATCCGCTGAAAACGTGTGTATAGGGGTTATTTGGGGTCCTGATCACGAATATAACATCCAGTCTTGACGCCGGCGCCATGTGGTGTCACAAACAACACTTCACAGTCAGAGCGTACTCTTAGGCACCTTTCTCAGAGCGCCGACTGTCAGACCGTGGAAAAGGTCATCGAATCGGAGACTTTCCCACGACAGGAAGGAGCCAGACCGTGGGAAAGGTCGTCGAAATCAGACTTTCCCACGACAGGAAGGAGCCAGACCGTGGAAAACTGTGAGCTAAGCCAGAAGCATATTTCACGTTTTCACTGGAGATGCCTGTATGCGTTGGGCAGAGCAGCAATTCGACTGTAAGCTCTCCAGCTGCCACTGAGGATGGTAGTACCGTGCTCGATGTACTACTTCATGATGAGCCGCAGTAGAGTTGAAACGTCTTTCCTTCGGACCATCCGAAGGAGTCCACTTCCTCTTTCAATGCCTCCAAACAGCCACTTGTGCCTGCGTACCCAACGTCGGCGGTTGTATTTGCGTTTGATAACCAGTGTTTCGTCTAATTTTTCGTTTATTTTCGCGATCAGGACCCCAAATAACCCCAAATGACGAAGTTTCAGCAGATTTGGTGAAAACAGCCGTGGCGCCAAATGGCGCCAAATGACACCAGCATCAAAAATGAATGTCATATTCGTAATCAGGGCATCGAATTACCCCAATAGACAAAGTTTCGACGAAAAATGAAACTTTGAGATTTTGGGGCAGTAATCGTGGGGGCCCAATCCGGCAATAGGGGAAGGCTGAAAACGGTGAAAACCAAAGTTTCAACTGGGGAAGTAATGCATATCATTCGATAGCATTTTTCACGGGGAAGCTAACGGGGCACATTTCAGGTCTGCGAGTTCATCTGGAAATGCAAAAAATCTGAACTTTCCATGAGGGCATTCTTATAGAGTCCGACGAGCTGAATTCAAAGATATCTTCGGATTCTCGAAAGCTCAATTTTGAACCGAGTTATAACGAATTCACGAAATTAACGAGGATTCGCGTTATTCGCGTGAATTTTCGATTTCAAACGGCGAGTACTGTATTTCCTACAGACAACTAAGCGTAGTGTAGGATAGTGAAGAGATTTCGTCGCTATCTCCTCAGGTTTCTCCAGAAAATCTCTTCGAATATAAGGAAATGTCACAAAATGAGACTGCTGGTCCTGCTAAAACTGATCTAAGATTCTCGTTCGAACTCAAGAGAATGGGATTTCGGCGCAGAGACTACACGTCTCACCATTCAGCTCCTTGAAATGAAATAGAAATCATGGAAACTTGAAAAAAAAATTTCAATTAATCTCGCAATCTAGTGCACAAAGTCGAGTACGTGGCGCATTCTGGGACAGTGCCCCAAGCCCATCTTTCTATGAAACGATCAGGCTCCACTAGTGTGATTAGGTACGCGTCACATCCAATCAGTTATTTCTCGAGGTGAAACTCGAGTGCATGGCGCAATCATATAGATTGCTTTTCCAGAGTTTCAAAGCACATTCTTATAGAGCTCGACGAGCTGAAGTTCAAAGATATCTTCGGATTCTCGAAAGCTCAATTTTGAACCGAGTTATAACGAATTCACGAAATTAACGAGGATTCGCGTTATTCGCGTGAATTTTCGATTTCAAACGGCGAGTACTGTAGGTCTGTTATAGAGAATCAAGAATCCGCTGAATCCAAGTGCGCTTTTCTTCATTTGAAATTTTTCTCCAAATAAGAAAGTGTGAGAGGTTGTAAGAAAGTTTTGAAACTCCAGATTGTTCTCTTTCTACGGAGTGCTTTCAAAGAGTTACATTTCTTTCGAAAATAGCCCTGTTGGACCGTTTTTTGTGCACAACCAGGTTTTTTGGCTTTCTGTGACTACATATGACTTCGCTAGACTCAACCTTTCGCAATTCTTGTATCCTCGCGATAGACTAGGAGGTTAGAGCTTTCTTATGAATGATTGAACTCCTTTCAAAATTGATTAGAGGCAAAGAATCCTTCCGTTGGACCGTTTTGGGGAATTCGCCGACGATTTTTGCAAGAGAGCTGGTTTTTTGGCTTTAAACTGTTATATCGCGGGGATCCGCGAGTTGGAAAATTTGAGTAAGATGATGAGAAACTACATATATATCTGTGATTACTTTCACTTGTCATCTGTTCATCACAGCTGTAATTTTCTTTGACACAGAAAAGCCCTATGGACGTCGGAAGAACTTCGAAAAGGACCGACCATCTGCGCTTTTCCTTGGAATGCTGGAGAACCACCACCTGCGAACTCCGTATATGAGCCCCGAGCGTGACACTAGTCCGATCGTCGTTTCATACATATTTCGATGCTTTATATTTTTTATAGTGAAATCTATTTGCTCGTTTAATTACCCAAGTTTGAGGTACCTGATAATGGTGGCGATTGCGGTATAATAAAATTGGTGTTATCCTTATCGTGTGGTCCTGTTGTGACGAAATTTAACGACTATACTCGCTATACGCCAAGTTATTTTTTAGATGGTGCATCGGCTCAGTTGTGAGCTCGGACGTAGCACGATTTCAGGAACTGAATTTTTTTTGCACTTTCACTTGTCGAGGAACATTTTGGAACTTTGAAAACACGCGGCGCTTACTTCACTGACCTTGTCGCTAACCATTTTGGAAAAGAGAAATCACGCGACGCTTTAATTCACTTTTCGCTTTGCTATATGCGGTCACCGATGATAACTACGAGGGAGCCGTAAAGCTTCTTCGAAATAAATAGAGAGACACTTAAATTGATAGATACGCTCAACGACGCCTAGAGAGCGCAAGAAGCAGAGAGTTCGGGGATTCACGCTCAGCGACGTCTGTTGGAATGGTTCATATCTCGTGCGGAAAAACCTCTCAAACGCGTCTCTCCTACGCACGGTTCCCACAACGCTCCTTCCTCAGAACATTGACGAAACTGAGTGGAGCATGCAACACCTCATCCAGTTACTTGACCATTTGGTCAGCACAGAAGAGCGCACCAACGACATGGTCACAAAAAGGAACACAGACAGCGAGGTGCCTGTAATATTTAAGAACTTGGAAATGGAGAAGCAGCAAAGGCGATAAATGTATATTTTGCGCGTCGCAGCATCACAAGTCGTCGACTGCACGCAGTACGCCACCATGACGGAACGACGCATATAATGCTAAAACGCAAACTCTGCTTCAACTGTGGGAAACCAAGACACCCTCAAGAGATGCATAAGTCAGGGATGTCGTACACGTCAGGGTAAACGTTACATCATACGCTGCGCCCACAGCATACTAAGGGTCAGAAGAGAGTTAATGGAGCCCGGCGAGCCTATGAAAAGGGCTCCCCCAAGAGACCTTTGCCTAAGTCACCGACGAAGTCATATGGCATGCATCAGCGTGCCAGGGAACAGCCTAAGCGAGAGGATACGCATGTCAACCCGCTCCAGATCACCACCATCGGAGATGCAAAGGCACAGCTCGGCGAACCTCTTATAACGCAGGAGATAGTGATGCAGTCCGTAGGGAGTAAGGAAGCACACAGGGAAAGTGTGTCATTACTCACGGGCTCCGCGAAGGTTATGTGACGCAAGTGGCAGTCGGAAGAAAAAAGTGGAGATACTTTTAGACACCGGTGCGGACCAATCCTTCATAAGTGAAAGGCTAGCGCAACAGTTGAATCTGGATTGTTCAACGACACGCACATTGGTAATGCGGACATTCGGCGAGGAAATGCCCAAAACTATGACTTGCAAAGTTGTTACGGTTGAAAGCTGGAACCAAGATGGTCAAAGGCACAGACTATTCACAACGAAGATACTGACCGGTACAGGAAAGGCAGCTAAGCTGACTCAAGAGGACATGAAATTCCTCTCATGCAACAACATAGTACTTTCCACAGCGCAATACGGCACACCTCGGGCTCCAGAGATACTCCTTGGCTGCGATCAACTATGGACATTCTTGCAAACCCCTTGTCCCCAACACACCCTTCCTTCAGGTTTGTATCTCATACCTTCAAAGCTCGGTTACTCACTCTCAGGGGAACAAAGAGGTAACAAGGAGCGGTACAAAATAGAAGGGTTCACGCAAGAAGAAATGACTCCGTCGACAGCCTTGCTTAACACTCTAACCAATTTCGACGGCGAGCTGGAACAAGCTATACACAGCTCGACAAGCTTGGCATTCTGAAGGATCAATCCGCCAACTTACGGGAATACAGACAAGCAAGAGAATCTTCAAGAGCACCGCCATTCCGCAAAACACCACATCGACGACGACGACGCTGATAGAATGAAAGTGATGAAAGCAACAGATCGACAACCAAGTAGACGAATCCGAGGTGATCCGGAATAACGAGCAATTTATGGAGCAGCTACATGAATTTGATGAAGAGCCACCAATAGAGAATGACCTCGTGATGATCGATTCGGACGCGCAGGTGGAAAACGAAAGTGACGCCGGAGTTCGTAATGAGGAGAAAGGTTTTGACAATGAAAGCGACGCCGAAATTCACCATGAAGAGCAAAGAAGTGTTAACGAAAATAATGTTGAGTTCCGTAATGAAGCGGAAAGAAATGGCCCCGAAGAAGAAGGTGAAATCCAAAACGAAGTCAAGAGAATGGCTCCGAAAACGAATGCGAGATCCGCAATGACGCTCAGGGCGTTAGAGCTCAGCAACCAATCCAGCAGGCTCGTGACGAGATAGCCGACTTGCAGCAGCAACCACGACAAGCAAATTAAGCAATGCTCAACTTCCGAATGATGATCAACGAACTAGAAAACAGGGAAGCGATGTGAAACAACGAAAATTGGACGGAAGAATCCAGAACCCTAACGATCTGTTCATGCCGTGCGCCTTTTGCGGACGAAGAGGGGATATATCCTGTTTCTTGTTTAGTGTACAGGTTCACGAGAGTACGGAAAGGAACGCGTAAATCTGAGCGCACCTATGCACTATGTGCCTCGACTACGACTGTCCAGGAGGACGACGATGCTTGAAACGCAACACGAGATGCTACCACTGTGGACGTAGTGGGCACAATTCTGCGCTGTGTACCCTGCCAGAAAAGAGCGTACGTATCAATGATGAGCTGGAGCTATTACAGCGACGTTACAATGACGCCTTCATCCGTGTTCACAGATTGGGAAGGAAACTCCGAAGACGCGGAGTGGACATGTGATTTGATTCCAACAAGCATGTGATGGCCGGGAATCTCGCGCTAATTTTGCTGTAATTTTCTTTGACACAGAAAAGCCCTATAGACGTCGGGAGAACTTCGAAAAGGACCGACCATCTGGGCTTTTACTTGGAATGCTGGAGAACCACCACCTGCGAACTCCGCATACTGGCGCCCGAGCCTGACACTCGTCCGATCTTCGTTTCATGTTTTGGTGCTTTATATTTTATATGAAATCTATTTGCTCGTTTAATTACCCAAGTTTGAGGTACCTGATAATGGTGGCGATTGTGGTATAATAAAATTGGTGTTATCCTTATCGTGTGGTCCTGTTGTGACGAAACTAACGACTGTATTCGCCATACGCCAAGTTAGCCTTTAAACGTTATAACTTTCTTCAGAATGAGCTTTCTGCAGATCTTCTCCCTGAAAGAAATTTGAGAAGGTTAATGCTTTCCAGCGAATACTTGATCTGTTTTCCAAAACGACTCGTTCAAAAAATTGGACCGTTTTTTATGAACTTTAGGAGCTTCTGTTCTGAAAACACAAGTTTTCACCACTCAACCACTCCCAGCTCTCTTTATGGGGAGTAAATGGTACCATGACATCTCACTTTTCAGGCAGATACTTTTTTCGAACTTTCCTTGTACCCCTTGAACAGTCAATCTACTTAAGTGATCACTCTTTTACTAAATTAAGTTCAGTTTGAAAAATTGGTTCTCCTCGAGAGCATATTCGTGTACGTGAGCAGTCAAATATGACACTTCTGCAGTCGACTCTTCTACTCTGGAGTGCGCCATGCACTCGTTAGTTGTGGTATTCCTAACAGTATTTTCTTGGAGCCTCCTCTTTTACCATTTCCAACATTGAGAAAACTATTACATTTGGGTGCAAAATTTCCTTGGAAGATTTTGAAAAGAGTTATCAAATCAGATTTCTTCCTCCTACGAGCTAAATTTCAAGGTTAAGGTTGGCATTACGACTTACCCATCCGGAATTCCATCATACTTGAAGCCCATTACTCTCAGAAAGACCTTCCTGGTGGAACTATTTTGTACCCTTTCTAATGCCTTAAAAAATTTTAATGAATGCAGAATAAATATTACAGCACCATTATCCAATAATGACCTGATGAAAGTTTTGTAAGCCCACAGCAGCACCACTGAACCTTTGCTTGTCAAAGCTCTGAATAGATTATACATCCATATTCAAGCTTTAGCAGCTATTTTTTAACAATGCCATTGAAAGAACATCTTCACGAACGGGGAAGCCCAGGTCTCTGACTGCACTCACAAATTCAAGCCGAACAGCTAATATTGAGTTAGAGTTATCCACGAGTACTTTAGTTTTTCGCTAGAACTGAGAAGCTTCGTTTGATCCAGGGTCAAGCTTGCGTTGAGGAATCCTCCATACGTCGACAGGGGGGGTCGCACTGGTCCGCTGGGAGGAAGAGGTCAGGCTGGATGCAGTAGGATCATCACTGTCGGTCGATAAACATCGATGCCGTGGAAGGCCGGACCAATAACAATGTGATTCAGCCCACATAAAATTTTCGTGATTCAGAGGTGTCCGCTTAGCAATTCTTAGTTACTTCAGTGTTTTATCACCACACAAGTTAAAGAATCCGAAATTCGCACGTTTTTCAAGGGATATTTTATCTTTCAAGTGAGTCCTCAAACCTGAAGTGAAGAGCGTCCCATAGTAGGCCCAGTTGGTTACCCGTGGTTCAAACACGGCTCTCTGGAGAAAGAAAGGAAAAATCAAGAGGATCTTGAAAAAAAGAGTGAAATTACAGGAGGAGTACACTATTCAACAAGAAACGCAGCCTTCAGCGTCAAATTCACAAGCATGTAACCTTTAAAGTTGAGACCCGCTAAACAATTTTACACTTTTTGAAGAGAAAAAGCACGAGGATTTGAATCTGCTCCTACTTCAGTATGTAATCGCTCCTGAAAGGAGCTATAGTCGTTGGATAGTGCCAATGTAGCGAAAAAGTACCTTTCGGCGGTACTCGGGCAAAAATCCTCAACGTGGCCATTTTTTAAGTGGTGAACGTATTTAACAGCTCTAGTAAATCGCTGAATAGAGTGGATCTTCTAGTTTATGACAAGAACGTACTGCATGGAATTTCAAAATTTAACGGGTGGAGTTTTGAACATAGCTTTTTTGCGTACTTGCTTCTACATATTGATAAGGCATTCGTTCTTCGATTTCACTACTAACGTAAAGAAGAATCTAAATCCCACCTATTTCCTGTAACAAGCTAGAGCTCTTCATGACACTAACGCTCTCCCTTTGTTCGCCAAAGGTTCATCCTGCAACGTTGTTAGCGAATTAGGTTTCTCAGAAAGCCTGCAACAACCACCGTTGCAAAGACCGATTAACTGGGTGGTAGGAACGATTGGTATGGGCGTGGAAGAGAAGTTTCTGCTGTTACCGAATATTGAGGTAAAGTACGTGCGAAGCTGCGATTGTTTCCTTACGCAACGCACTCGCCAACGGTTCGTTCCCTTAAGTGTTAGCGCCATCATGTGCCGCTTCTTGCAATCATCGTCAAAAACGACATCCCGCACAAGTCCGTAAGCGTGGTGATGCCTCACTGTCCAATGAGCGAGCTGAAAAAGTGGAGCTGACGGAGGCACCAATCGAATCTGGAAACAGAAAGTTTTTACGGTGATCACACCAAAATTCACCACACCTTCGAGTGCTGTTTCACAAAGCATAAAAAACAGAAGAGTAGGGATTATCTCGAGTTTTTTATACTAAAATAATCCCTTCAACCAAGGCAATTTTTAGAAGCAATCACAACATCATTGAACGTTTCTGTTGAAACAAGCACACGATGAAATTCGAGCGAACTCGCCAGCCGAGCTGCCCAGAAATCATTGCTTTTGGAAATTAGCCACTTAGATTTCCTCACTCATAAACGTCTATCAAAGGTGGAAAATGATGTATTTGCTGATGACACAATGAAAAGTGAATTTATTCAAGAAACTGCTTCATAATGCCTGAAACGCAATAAAGGCAATCAACACGCCACGGCAGGGTCAAACCCCTCACGTTGTTAACGATGAACAATGGGAAATGGTCGTGCTCTCAACGTGGCCCAGGCAGTGATATCGGGTAATAGCCAGCACGTTACGTTTTCGTAAGATGACTGATACTAGAGCATCTATAAACCACGATTCCCTCTAAATGAGCTTTCAAATGAATCAGCGAATTAGAAGGGCGCCCGAGGCGTGGCGCGCACCAAGGCAAGGGATGTAGTGCAAGCGCATGCTCGAAGCTTTCTAGCACATCCTAAGTTAAACATGACATTGGTCTTCCAAGAAGTTACGGGCAGTGAAACCTAAGAAAACCCGCGTTTTCGGGAAAATGGCTTGAAGAATACCCCTCAAAAAAGTAACAACGGGACTAATTTTTGAACTGCTGACTTTTCAGGAACGTTTGGTGCTCGTAAGAAAGCTTGAATCCTGTAGTTTGTCATACCGTGTTCAGCTTCCCAAATGAATGACTTTGAAGGAAGTTATGATCGTTTGAAGGTAAAAAAAAGTCGCGGTTCCAGAAAAATAGTAACGCAAAACCCCCAAAAAAGTAACAACGGGACTAATTTTTGAACTGCTGACTTTTCAGGAACGCTTGGGTGCTCGTTAGAAAGCTTGGATCCTGTAGTTTGTCATACCGTGTTCAGCTTCCCAAATGAATGACTTTGAACAAAGTTATGATCGTTTAAAAAGTCGCATTTGCACAGAAAAAAGTAACAACGTACTAAATTTTTATTAAATTAACTTTCGAAGAATTTTTACCCATGGTTGAGAGAGAAATAATTTGAATTTTCCAAATCAAATCACTTCGGCGCAGAAGCTCGAATATGAAGGAAGTTATAGCCTTAGAAAGAGGGGTGTAAAAATTGTGTTGCAATTGAAGAACGTGAAGGATTTCAGTATTTCAATTGGAGCGATAATTTTTTCTGACTTCTCATAAGTTTTTATCAGTAATATTGTCAATATTCCGGTCACTGGTTCAGTTTATTTCATCTCCTAGTTTGGTAACCCTTTGGAGTACACGGATATCTTTGAATGCATCTCATTTTTTCGTGTTTGGAAGCAGCGATGAATATCTGTCGTGGATTTTGCTAAAGTTTCATCTTTGATGACTTACGTAGAAATAAATATTGATGGTAAACACTGTCTCTACACAAGTGTCACATACAAGGGGGGTCGTATCAAATCACCCATGAAGGGGGGGGGGGTCGTAAAAAATTTCCAAAGAGTAACAACGATAGGGTTGACCCTGCGCCACGGTCAGCTCATTTACTTGAAGACTCCCTTAATTTTTTAAGGTGGATAAGAGCTGCTTAAAGGTTGGTGGTGGCATGGCGCATGGCTTTCGCAATGTGGTGGGTTTGTCGTTTAGTAACACTCAATGAACATATTTTTGTTTTCCACTTGTCTTGTTATTGTTACAGGTTTTCCATGACCACTTAATCCTCTTACCGTAAATTGTGGCCTCCCTGTATAGCTAGTAACGATAAAGAAACAGTGAAATTTCTTACAACATTTATCGGATTTTTAGAAAATCAATAACCGGGCGCGAGTCTCGCAGGAGGACAGTGATCGCAGGAGCCTGGAGCACCATTCTCTCCATTCTGTCCTGGAGGGCCGGCTTGTCCATTCTGTCCAGGTTGTCCAGGAGGACCTGGCATGCCTGGAGGTCCTTGCGCACCTGGTTTTCCGTCTAGACCCGGTCCA